ATATCTTGCTCTCAGCAGAATATCTTGTGACTCTGTTCCTTTGGCTAAAGAAATTACATCAGTCACTTCTCATGTCCCTGGCATTTGCGCAACAATGCTTTATTGTAAAAAATTACCCAAGAAACATAGGGTCCAAGGCCAACACATTTCATACGCATTACACAGCTTACCAGACTTTGCATGTGGTGTGTTAGTTTTCTTAATATAGAAAAATACCTGTTGTTCCTGTAAGAATTCCTGTGACCTTCATGAAACTTCGTGATCATGAAATTCAAATCTCAATGAATGATATAATTTCTCCTTGCTGTCTACTGTAAACTACAGAACAACCCCTCCCTATATTATGGAAACGGGTCTGTAGTCTTAATTAGGAGAGCAGGGTAGAATGTCAACATCCTCAATAGATACAGTGCTGTGGGTGAGTGTTGCCCAGGGACAGGAATTGTTTTACAGTAAGGATCACCAAGTTTAAAGCAGAACTCCGGGAAAAAAACGTATTTGCATATCCTTGTTGCTGATTGCCTACCTTCACTGAATTTGTCATCCATCTTCTGGTTCACTCAGTAGTTGCTCTGAAATAGCTTATTAATTTTCAGATTAAACTGTTAATTCTCTTTGGTTTCCTGTTTGTAAGAGTAGTGGCTGCTATGCCTCCTATTTTCTCAGTCACTGGTCTTGGCACATCCCTTCTGTAGTTCTTTCTCCAGGAAGCAGTTATGTAATTCAGCACCACTTGCAGAATATCAGACACATTCAATGTGTACAGGGCTAGTGTACCCACTCACATACCCTGTGGTTGATGGGAATTGTAGTTTCCTTTTATTGCAGAGAGAGGACAGGATATGATGTATTCCCTGCTGTTACACCTCCTCCTTGGCAGAGCAGATGCTGTTATCTTTTAAATTACAGAGATGAAGTCATGAAAATTCAATGAGACTTTTCCCTTAAACGGTAAGGATTTTCAAAATGTTGTTAACTGTTTAGTGTTTTGTGTTGGGGGTGTACTACTGGGTGATTTTTTTTTTTTCTATCCTGGAGTTCTTTAAATAACTGTAATAAAAGCCTAAAAAAAAACTAATATAGCCACCACATAAAAAACTCTGACTAGCTGCAGTATATATTTTTTTTATAACATGCACTTTAATTTAGTCCCCCCTCTCCAGTTCTTCCTTATACCATGGACAACTGCTGATTCTGATAGAAAGGTATCAAAGCACACATTTTTTGCATATGGGGCTATATAGCTACAGGGCACGATTGTTGACCTATGTCCACAGCCAAAAGCACCTACAATAGCCACATGAGCATCAGAACTGGACCATGGAGCAATAGAAGAAGGTGGCCTGGTCTGATGAATTCAAGAACGGTTTGACGACCACAACGAGTTTGAGATGTTGACTAGGCCTCCAAATTTTCCAGATCTCAGTCTTATCAAGCATCTGTGGGATGTGCTGTTAAAAGCAAGTCCAATCCAAGGAGGCCCCCACCTCACAAAATTACCAAACTAGGATCTCCTACTGGCGGTTTGGTGCCAGATACTACAACAAACCTTAAGAGGTCTAGTAGAGTTTATGCCTCAAAGGGTTATTGCAGGTGGTTATAATGTTATGGCTGTTTGGTGTACACGTAAGTGAAGTGCTTTATATGGCAGCATTTATATAATATTATTTGGCCAGTTCCTTGATTCACATACCTCTGCACACTGCATAGGGAAGTAACACACCTAACCCCAGGTTTTAGCTTTGTAGTTTACAGTTCTGCCTCTTTAGCTTTGGACTGTTCATTGGACAATCACAATTAGAGATGAGTGAATTATTCAAAAATTCGATTCGGCTGATTCGGCGAATTCGCGGAATCAATTCGATTCGAGTCGAATATATTCGCTGCGAATTGAACTTATAAAAAGGGTGTTTCTAGGCTTCAGAGAGCCTTTATATTAGTGCAGAACACTGTACCTTTAATTTAAATGCCCTTGGATTCTGCTGGGGAAGAGAAATAATACTGTCAGTCAGTATGACATGCAGATGAGTGCCGTCGATCTTAGAATCACCGCACACTTCACTCATTTGGGCAGTCACGGGGCCAAAACCAGAGTGTGGAGCCACAGTGTGTCGGTGGAGGCAGCAGCAATGGGAGGCCATACAGCACCCTATGAAAAAATGGAACCCACCAGCAGTGTGAGGAGACCTGAAAGTGGCACATGGCAGAGTGTGGCGATGGAGACAGCAGCAATGGGAGGCCGTACAGGGACCCATGACACACTCTGGACCTGGCAGCAGCATGAGGAGGCGGTACAGGGGCCCATGACAGATTACGGGCCTGGCAGCAGCATGAGGAGTCGGTACGGGGGCCCATGGCAGATTACGGGCCTGGCAGCAGCAATGGGAGGCCCGTAATCTGCCAGCACCCTATGACAAAATGGAACCCACCAGCAGTGTGAGGAGACCTGAAAGTGGCACATGGCAGAGTGTGGCGATGGAGACAGCAGCAATAGGAGGCCGTACAGGGACCCATGACACACTCTGGACCTGGCAGCAGCATGAGGAGGCGGTACAGGGGCCCATGACAGATTACAGGCCTGGCAGCAGCATGAGGAGTCGGTACGGGGGCCCATGGCAGATTACGGGCCTGGCAGCAGCAATGGGAGGCCCGTAATCTGCCAGCACCCTATGACAAAATGGAACCCACCAGCAGTGTGAGGAGACCTGAAAGTGGCACATGGCAGAGTGTGGCGATGGAGACAGCAGCAATGGGAGGCCGTACAGGGACCCATGACACACTCTGGACCTGGCAGCAGCATGAGGAGGCGGTACAGGGGCCCATGACAGATTACGGGCCTGGCAGCAGCATGAGGAGTTGGTACGGGGGCCCATGGCAGATTACGGGCTGGCAGCAGCAATGGGAGCCCGTAATCTGCCAGCACCCTATGACAAAATGGAACCCACCAGCAGTGTGAGGAGACCTGAAAGTGGCACATGGCAGAGTGTGGCGATGGAGACAGCAGCAATGGGAGGCCGTACAGGGACCCATGACACACTCTGGACCTGGCAGCAGCATGAGGAGGCGGTACAGGGGCCCATGACAGATTACGGGCCTGGCAGCAGCATGAGGAGTTGGTACGGGGGCCCATGGCAGATTACGGGCCTGGCAGCAGCAATGGGAGGCCGTAATCTGCCAGCACCCTATGACAAAATGGAACCCACCAGCAGTGTGAGGAGACCTGAAAGTGGCACATGGCAGAGTGTGGCGATGGAGACAGCAGCAATGGGAGGCCGTACAGGGACCCATGACACACTCTGGACCTGGCAGCAGCATGAGGAGGCGGTACAGGGGCCCATGACAGATTACGGGCCTGGCAGCAGCATGAGGAGTCGGTACGGGGGCCCATGGCAGATTACGGGCCTGGCAGCAGCAATGGGAGGCCCGTAATCTGCCAGCACCCTATGACAAAATGGAACCCACCAGCAGTGTGAGGAGACCTGAAAGTGGCACATGGCAGAGTGTGGCGATGGAGACAGCAGCAATGGGAGGCCGTACAGGGACCCATGACACACTTTGGACCTGGCAGCAGCATGAGGAGGCGGTACAGGGGCCCATGACAGATTACGGGCCTGGCAGCAGCATGAGGAGTCGGTACGGGGGCCCATGGCAGATTACGGGCCTGGCAGCAGCAATGGGAGGCCCGTAATCTGCCAGCACCCTATGACAAAATGGAACCCACCAGCAGTGTGAGGAGACCTGAAAGTGGCACATGGCAGAGTGTGGCGATGGAGACAGCAGCAATGGGAGGCCGTACAGGGACCCCATGACACACTCTGGACCTGCAGCAGCATGAGGAGGCGGTACAGGGGCCCATGACAGATTACGGGCCTGGCAGCAGCATGAGGAGTCGGTACGGGGGCCCATGGCAGATTACGGGCCTGGCAGCAGCAATGGGAGGCCCGTAATCTGCCAGCACCTATGACAAAATGGAACCCACCAGCAGTGTGAGGAGACCTGAAAGTGGCACATGGCAGAGTGTGGCGATGGAGAGACAGCAGCAATGGGAGGCCGTACAGGGACCCATGACACACTCTGGACCTGGCAGCAGCATGAGGAGGCGGTACAGGGGCCCATGACAGATTACGGGCCTGGCAGCAGCATGAGGAGTCGGTACGGGGGCCCATGGCAGATTACGGGCCTGGCAGCAGCAATGGGAGGCCCGTAATCTGCCAGCACCCTATGACAAAATGGAACCCACCAGCAGTGTGAGGAGACCTGAAAGTGGCACATGGCAGAGTGTGGCGATGGAGACAGCAGCAATGGGAGGCCGTACAGGGACCCATGACACACTCTGGACCTGCAGCAGCAGCATGAGGAGGCGGTACAGGGGCCCATGACAGATTACGGGCCTGGCAGCAGCATGAGGAGTCGGTACGGGGGCCCATGGCAGATTACGGGCCTGGCAGCAGCAATGGGAGGCCCGTAATCTGCCAGCACCCTATACAAAATGGAACCCACCAGCAGTGTGAGGAGACCTGAAAGTGGCACATGGCAGAGTGTGGCGATGGAGACAGCAGCAATGGGAGGCCGTACAGGGACCCATGACACACTCTGGACCTGGCAGCAGCATGAGGAGGCGGTACAGGGGCCCATGACAGATTACGGGCCTGGCAGCAGCATGAGGAGTCGGTACGGGGGCCCATGGCAGATTACGGGCCTGGCAGCAGCAATGGGAGGCCCGTAATCTGCCAGCACCCTATGACAAAATGGAACCCACCAGCAGTGTGAGGAGACCTGAAAGTGGCACATGGCAGAGTGTGGCGATGGAGACAGCAGCAATGGGAGGCCGTACAGGGACCCATGACACACTCTGGACCTGGCAGCAGCATGAGGAGGCGGTACAGGGGCCCATGACAGAAAACGGGCCTGGCAGCAGCATGAGGAGTCGGTACGGGGCCCATGGCAGATTACGGGCCTGGCAGCAGCAATGGGAGCCCGTAATCTGCCAGCACCCTATGACAAAATGGAACCCACCAGCAGTGTGAGGAGACCTGAAAGTGGCACATGGCAGAGAGTGTGGCGATGGAGACAGCAGCATGGGAGGCCGTACAGGGACCCATGACACACTCTGGACCTGGCAGCAGCATGAGGAGGCGGTACAGGGGTACAGGGCCCATGACAGATTACGGGCCTGGCAGCAGCATGAGGAGTCGGTACGGGGGCCCATGGCAGATTACGGGCCTGGCAGCAGCAATGGGAGGCCCGTAATCTGCCAGCACCCTATGACAAAAATGGAACCCACCAGCAGTGTGAGGAGACCTGAAAGTGGCACATGGCAGAGTGGGCGATGGAGACAGCAGCAATGGGAGGCCGTACAGGGACCCAGACACACTCTGGACCTGGAGCAGCATGAGAGGCGTACAGGGGCCCATGACAGATTACGGGACCTGGCAGCAGCATGAGGAGTCGGTACGGGGGCCCATGGCAGATTACGGGCCTGGCAGCAGCAATGGGAGGCCCGTAATCTGCCAGCACCCTATGACAAAATGGAACCCACCAGCAGTGTGAGGAGAGACCTGAAAGTGGCACACATGGCAGAGTGTGGCGATGGAGACAGCAGCAATGGGAGGCCGTACAGGGACCCATGACACACTCTGGACCTGGCAGCAGCAAGAGGAGGCGTACAGGGGCCCATTGGCAGAGTGGCGAAGCGTAAGCAGCTTAAATTGAAGGCCATACAGAGGCCTATGTTGAGGAAAAATAATAACATGTTTTGGGGCATGATTCATGGCGGATTTAGTCAGTTGTGTCAGGAACTGGTGGTTTGAAATCCAGACTAATCCACGCCTGATTCATTTTCACAAACGTGAGTCTCTCCACACTTTGGGTGGACAGTCGTGTCCTCCGCGGAGTTACAATACCTCCTGCCGCACTAAACACGCGCTCCGATGCCACGCTACTGGCCGGGCATGACAGCCTTTCAAGGGCAAATTCAGCTAGTTGGGGCCCAAAGGTCAAGTTTCGTTGCCCAGTAGTCAAGGGGATTGTCTACCTCGGTTGGCAGGGTGCTGTCCAAGTAGGCCCAAGCCTGTTGTTTTGAGGTCCTGCTCCAGGTCCACCTGATGCTGCTGCTGCTGCTGCGGCTGGTTAGTAGTTTTCCTCACTGCGCTGGTGAAGAAAGCTACTCATCATCGACTGCAGACTGAGGCAGCCGCTGCTGGTGGAGCTGCCACTGCTCCTACCACCCCACCCCTCCCCTGCTGCCATGGCAGCGGAACGCGAGCGCACAGGGCCCACAGTGTCTGAGGATGGACGTTGGCGCAGAAAGGCAGAGACCAACTGACTACATAGGTGGTTTTTATAGTACGTTATTTTGGCCTCCCTCTCAGCAGGTGAAAAAGGCCACCATTTTTGAACGGTAGCGAGGGTCCAACAAGGTGGACAGCCAAAAGTCATCCCTCTGTCTGATGGTTATTATTCGGCTGTCGCTACGCAAGCAACCGAGCATGCTATGGCCATTTGTGCCAAGGAATGCGAGGGACTCCCTGCCTCCATCTCCACAGCATACTGCCACGGTGCGTCTGGGTCCTCTGTCTCCTCCTCCTCCTCCTCTACCAGATGCTCCTGCTCCTCCACTCCTGTCCGCTGAGTGGAAAAACCACCCATTTCACTCAATAATTCCTGAGCACCAATGTCCTCCTCTACCTCCTCCTCCTCTTCTTCCTGTCCTGCCCCCACAGGGGTCATGTGGCGTTGAGATCTGTGCGCCACGTCTACCGCACCCTGACCAGCCATTGTTAACAGCATTTGTTCCAGGACGTGCAACAGAGGAATGACGTCGTTCATCCCATAGTCCTGCCGACTCACGAATAGCGTGGCCTCCTCAAAGGGCCTGAGCAAGCGGCAGGTGTCACGCATGAGCTGCCAATGGCTGACATCTAAGTTACACAGGGGAGTACCTTTATCCGCTTGTAACATCAGGAAATCGGTGATGGCCTTTCGCTGTTCGTAAAGGCGGTCTAACATATGTAGGGTTGAATTCCACCTTGTTGCAACGTCGCAGATCAGGCGATGCTGTGGAATTCCGTTCTGCCGCTGCAGCTCAAGGAGGGTGTGCTTTGCGGTGTAGGAATGGCTGAAATGCATGCAAAGTTTACGTGACATTTTAAGGATGTCTTGCAGTGGGATGGTGGATTTTAGGAACCGCTTGACAACCAGATTGAACACGTGAGCCATGCATGGCGCATGGCACAACCTTCCTTGACGCAGAGCAGACACCATGTTTCTTTCCGTTGTCGGTCAACATGGTTCCGATTTTCAGTTTGCGCGGAGACAGCCATCTGTCGATTTCTCTGTTCATTACACTCAGAAGTTCCTCCCCTGTGTGACTACGTTCGCCAAGGCATACCAGGTGCAGCACAGCGTGACACCGTTGCGCCCTGCACATGTGATATGCCGGTCGGGTAATGGGACTTGGCACGGGGGGGGTGGCGGCTGAGGACACGGCGGAAGAAGAGGTGGTAGAGGCGGACATCTTTGCTGGACCAAGGACGTGCAAACGTGGAGGCAAAAGCGGCGTGACCCTGTCCAAGTTGCTGGTGCGGCTGTGCCGGCACCACGTTCACCCAGTGGGCCGTAAATGACATGTACTGTCCCTGACCGTAGTTACAGCTCCACACGTCGGCGCTGCCGTGCACTTTGGCAGAGACCGACATGCTCAAAGACTGGCCCACCATCTCTTCTACATGTGAATGCAGGGCTGGCACTGCCTTTTTGGCGAAGAAATGCCGGCTTGGCACTCTCCACCGCGGCGCGGCACAAGCCATCATTTCTCGGAAAGGTGCTGAGTCCACCACTTGGAAAGGGAGGGACTGCAGCACCAGCAACTTGGACAGGAGGACGTTCAGCTTCTGCACCGTCGGGTGCGTGCTCGCAAACTGTTTGTCTCTTGGAAACGGATTCCAAGAAAGACTGCTGACGGAACTGACCCGTGAAGAGGAGTAGCAGGAGAAGGAGCATCTGAACGAGCGGAAGATGCCAACGAGCGACAACTCCCCTCAGCAGAGGTGTTGGAGCCTTGACTGGCTGATAGAGGGCGATTGACGTCGGGTGACGGAGCAAGTAACGGAGCGCGCAGTGAATGGAGCGGGGGCTGGGGCAGGCAGAACCGCCGTATCTTATCACGGTTTTTCCCAGGCCACCAGAATGGCGACGCTGCATATGCTGCCGCAACGCTGTAGTCCCAACATGGGCCCCCTGGCCACGCTTGACTTTCTGGCCACATAGTCGACATACGGCTACGTTTTACTTCCTCGGTCCGGCTTGACGAAAAATTGCCACACCGCCGAGTAGGAAACTTTGCCCCCGCTACTCCTCACTGGCTGACTGCTACTTCCTCCGTGCACACCGGCACCACTACTGGCCGCGGTTGGTGGTAGGCTGACCAGTGGAGCTGTGCTGTACTCCGTGGCCGATTTGCCTCCACTGACACTGCTGCGACCCTGCTGCCTCCTGGGCAACCCCCCGACTGTTTTGCTCGCTGCCAAACTGGCACCCTTGTCTCCTGATGATGCGGAAGCAATAGCCTGATGACGACGATCTGCTGCCAAGTGCGATCAGCCTCATCATCATCAATTAGGGTCTCCGCCTCCTGACTAGCCCCCTCGGCTGCGTGTGGGTCCCTGGAGACAGATCTGGTCTCGAGAAGACCGGCTACCGAGCCACTCTCCTCGCCATACTTCTTTCGCCTGGCTGCTGAAGAGGCGGATGTCTCCCCCCGTTCCTGACCGCCCTCTGTAGCTCCCTCACTGTACAGTGGGGCTGAGCCCACAGCATGTCGATACTTCCTGTGTGAGGGTAACGATTCAAAGGTCCAGGGGCAGAGTAGAGGACACGTGATTTTCAAGTGCTTGCCTCCGCGGGCCATGCCAACAAACGGTCTGTGTCTGACGTACCCACCGATTGGCTGTATGTCCTGTGACCTGAAGTAACAATTCTGTGTCCCTTAGTAACAATTCTGAATCCTGATGATAACAAATTTGTCGGTCCCTGAGTACACGACCGCTGATGTCCCTCAGTAACGATTCTGTGTTCCCTGAGTAACGACTCAGTGCTGCCTCGACAATTCTGTTCCTTCCCTGAGTAACACAGTGTTCCTGCTCAATCCTCCCTGAGTAACATTGCTTCCTGTGTCCCTGAAGTAACGATTCTGTGTCCCTGAGTAACATTCAGTGTCCCTGAGTAACAATTCTGTGTCCCTGAGTAACGATTCTGTGTCCCTGATAACGATAATTCTGTGTCCCTCAGTAACACATTCGTGTGTCACCCTGAGTAACGATTCTGTGTCCCTGTCCCTAGAGTAACATATTCTGTGTCCCTGATAACTGATTCTGTGTCCCCTCAGTAACAATTCTGTGTCCCTCAGTAACAATTCTGTGTCCCTGAGTAACAATTCTGTGGCCCTGAGTAACAATTCTGTGTCTGAGACCCTGAGTAACGATTCTGTGTCCCTCGAGTAACATTTCTGTGTCCCAAGTAACGAATTCTGTGTCCCGGAGTAACGATTCTGTTGCCCTGAGTAACGATCTGTGTCCCTGATAACAATTCTGGTAGTCCCTGAGTAACAATCTATTCAGTAGCCCGGATAACGTTCCTGTGTCCCTAAACAATTCTGTTGCCCTGAGTATACAATTCCTGATGTCCTGAGTACATTTCTAGGTGTACCCTATAACAATTCTGTGTCCCCCTAGAAACCAATTCTTGTCCCTGAGTAACGATTCTGTGTCCCTATAACAATTCTGTTCCCTGAGTAA